CCAGCGTGATCTTCGTGTGAAGTTTGCCCACTTGATCAGCAAGCGTATGCTGCCAAGGGACATCCTGAAGCGCGCGGCTTCTAGCGCTCACGATGAGCGCGGGTACGGTATGTATTCATCATCCGTACCCCGTTCGGGCAAGAAGCCCCGGACTACTTATGAAGCTGCCGCCGCTTCTGTTCCCAGATTGCGACAGCCTTCGGGCAGTCAATCAGGAGCCGTTCAATCGGCTCCCACGAGTTCTCGGAGTGGGCATAACCCCTCCACTTCACGAGGAGCTGTCGCTTCCCGCGACACCGTTGCTCCTGGAGGATCCGCTCCACGTGGAAGTGGACTTCTCCATTCCGGTCAAGCAGGGGCGGAGGTGCCCTCGTACGAGTACGAGTACTCGGCGCCTCCCGAGAGCCACTCTCGTTCGAGTGCTCCGACTGCGGGTCCGACACGGGACCCTGAGGTTGACCGCCTCCGTCAACGTCTCCTCGTGCTTGAGATTGCACTTGGCCTTGGGACTGGCGGTAATGCTGCCGACAGAGCTGACAGTGTCTAGCGGTAGGTTCCTCGTGTCTAATAGCACTAAGTCCCCCACTTTAAATACACTTAAGTTTCCTCTTCCATGTTTGTCTGAGTACTCCTTTTGTCTATCCTGGGCCGCTGCCATGGCATCGCGGACCCTGCTGACAATGTTCAGCTTGGTATCCATAAAGGATTCCACCTGTTTCCGCAGCGAAACTGGCCTCACATCCGAGACCTGGGAGGAAAGGGCTTTCCGAGCCTCTCCCCCACTTAGAATAGAGGAGTCAGTTTTTCCTCGAAGAGTGAGAGGCACTCTGGGGTGGCGGAAGCCGTTCAAGTAGAACGGCGTGAACCCCGTGGACGCGTGCACCGCGTTGTTGAGCGCAAACTCAACAACTGGAAGCTGCGTCGACCACGTACGTGGCGCTGCCGCGCACACACTGCGCAGAGTGTCCTCGAGCACTCGATTGACGCGCTCTGTTTGGCCGTCTGTCTGCGGATGATCCGCAGTGGACATCTGCAGACGAGTTCCCAGTAAAGGGAACAGCGTTTTCCAAAACGCAGCAGTGAACCGCGGGTCTCGGTCCGAGACAATCGTCTCCGGGAGACCGTGATAGCGGAACACGCCATCGACGAACAACCTTGCGGTTTGTTCGCCCGTCACAGTGACGGGAACTGGAGCAAGATGTACCATCTTGCTCAGCCGACACACGAACACCAAAATTCCGGTGTTGCCGTGTCCGTCGGCGGGAAGCCCAAAGATGAAGTCAAGACTCATCGACTTCCAACAATCAGCCGGTACGGGCAGGCTCTGTAGTGGAGCCGAAGAGTGCCCTGCGGGTTTAACCCGCTGACATGTTTCACATGTCTTGACGTACCGGGCGACCCACTTGTACATGTGGGTCCACCAGAAGGACTGAGAGACCGACAGAAAGGTCTTCTCGCGGCCCAAGTGGCCGCTGGAGGGCGCGTCATGCGCCTCCGCGAGGATGTCGAACTTCAGATCCTCGTCGTTGGGTACAACCACCCGTGGAGGATCAGTGGGCTCTACCCGATAATAGAGGAGGCCCTCCTTCAACTCATATCGGTGGAGCCGTGAGCGCTGTCGCGACGAGAGCCAGTCGGACTTCGCGCTCGTTCCGGCCTTAAGGAACTTGACGATAGGCGCGACAGCCTCATCGTCCCGATACGACATGCGTATCCGATCATATAGATCCGTTGTCACCCGCGTGATGTGGGCCAACTCATAGTCGGGACGCCTAGAGAAGGCGTCCGCAAGCACGTTGAGCTTGCCCGGCTTGTACTCGACGCGGAAGTTATATTCCGCGAAGAAGGACAGCCACCTCGCCATCC